CTTCCTGAAGCTTTAACTCTCTTAGCCCAGCAACCAACGATGCTCCTATCAACTGCACAGCTTCCATACACAGCACACAAGCGTTTATGAATGTTCACCACAGTTTCTTTTTCAGCAACAAAGAATTCAATTACAGCTCGTTGCTTGTAATGAGAGTCGTTCACAGATGCCATTTTAACAGTTCACTACAGCTCCGCCATCGGTTGGAATCATTTGAAACTCCGTACACGAAAGCGGGAAACATCAAATCTCAAGCATGTAAAAGTACACTTTTCTATCTTCATTATTGGCTGAGAAAAAAATGTGGGGCATTATTTAATGAGCGATCCTCATACATGTCCCTTAGTGCCTAAGTTGTGGAGATCTCGTAACATCTGTACAGATTACAAACACAGATAATGGGGCAGCTGTCTTCTGGCATTTATATAAGTTCTAGAACAATAAGAAACAAATTATTATTGCATTTCTACAAATATCACACCTCCTACTTTGGTTCTGTGTTCTTGACATTGCTGTCACATTCAGTCCAGACAAAGTGAGCTCCACAGGCCGCAGAGAGCCAAAAAAGTCTGTGATCGGGACCTTGTGAGGATCACGTGGGAACAGATCCTTTCGCACACCAACTGTGGAGATGCAAGCTCTTTTGGGGCAAACACTGAGCTGAAAGAGAATTGTCCTACAATATGACTAACAACGATGATGACCATAACATAATGAAACATTCTTACAATAAAGAAAACCTAAAATATCATGAAAATTAATGAGAGTATGCAAGCATGTGTGAGATAACTGTTTGTGATCCTACGATCTTTGATTTGGGTCACAATCTGATGTTGGAAACCAGTGCCTCTAATTGAATAATACATACACTCTGCACTCACTATCACATCATGAAGTTTACTTACAAATTCACCCATTGTTTTAGTACTGTCTGGTTCTACTCGTTCCAAAAAGTCAAGTGCATAGTACGTATATCTATCAATGATGTATACTCCTATAGCTGGATCAACATGGTGCTGAAAAAGAAAATCACAAACAAATTTCTGTTACTGATAAGTAAGTGAGGACATTTTTGACTAGTTGGGCAACTATTAGCATTTCAAGGACTCTGCTCAGTGGAGTTGACATTTGTCTCTGTGATATAGCATCTATTTGATTCCTGAGAAGAAGAAATCAGGTGTCAACATGTGCAACCACTGGAACTCCTTGCCTTTTATCTTGTCATCTTATTAAATGTGTTTTCATTTGAAGAATGTGTTGGCAAGACATTTCCAGCAGAACTGCTCCAAGAGTTTCAAAGAGACATGAGGTGTCTGGGGACAAGAATTCATGTGTGTCGAAGAATAATTTTCTCTGTTGAGAAGCCAGGGCTTTTCTTCTGGATGGCTTTCTTCAGATGTCACAATGCTGTACAATAGTCGTCTCCATTCAGTGTTGCCCCATGGTCCAGAACGCAAGGAGAATACCCTATGCATCCCAGATTGCTGTCAGCACCATTCCTAAAGACTGAAAATTTTGAACTGCTTTTTCAAAGTGTTTATACTCTGATAATTCGATGAAGAAGGAAAGAATCTATTTCATCACTGGAGAACTCTGGGAAAGGTTGAGTTGACTGAATTTGGGATATATAGTGACAATGAATGCAAACTTCTACTGCACAGCACCATGGCACTTGAAATTGACATTCAGATTAAATGCTCTGGCTTGCTCAAACAGAAAGTAACCCTTGTTAGTGCACCTCCTGTAGCCAATTTGCCGGGAAAATTCATCATGCAGCATGGACCTTGTGCTTAGTGAGTTCTAACTCATACTGCATACTGAAGAAGCAATCTAAAGGAAACCCTTTTGACGAGACGACAAGGTGAAAGCTGACGTGTGGGAACGGAAATGCAAATACTACACCTGATTTCTTTCTTCTCCTCAGGAATTAATCTGATGGTATATTGCTGGAACAAATGTCTGACCACTGTGGCAATTATGTAAAGAAATAGAGGGTACTTAGTATATGACTTGAAACTTTCAGAGTACTAAATGTGATAAAATCTTCTCGGGTGGCTAGTCGCCCAAGATTTTATCACATGTCTCTTAGTCTTTATTCTTTTGGATGTCTATGTAGGTAATAAATATGATTGTAACACACCCTCTGATGTTACTTACTGAACACCCTTCATAACAAGATATGGTGAAAATTTCTGACAACTGCTTTCCTTCAAATGCTTCATCTACATGGCAAGGGTAGCAAGAATTATAAATTAATAATAACACAATTTAGGATCCCCTTCTATGCTGTTTCCCCCATTAAACTTACCACATATAACCTCAACATTTCATGAGGTCACCATGACTGTAATTTTTAACATACAAAGGAATCCACTTACATTCTATCTCCAAACCATGTTTCACGTGCATAACTTCAATAATTCATTCACCTGAAATTTTGGCATAATACAAGGGCGAGTCAAATAAAAACTTTAAAAGTGGTGGGGGGAGGGGAGAAAGGAAATGAGAACCTGTCATGTGCAGCTGTATGCACAGTAAGTAATCAGCAAGGATTAGATGCAGGTACCATGTGTGGTAAATCTGGCTATGAGGGTTACATGACATCCTCAAAGCAGAGAAAAGATGGCTGCACTACTAGAAGCATGCACATAGGAGGAACAGCGTTTGTCATGCACTGAATGCAATGGGGACTATACTGAAAAATGACAAAGCTGTATCGAATCTATCTGCAATACACAAGTTGTGAAAAAAAAAAAAAAAAAAAAAGTTTTCATTTGACTTCCCCTTTTCTAAGCACATTAAACTAAAGTAATTAATGTCCATATTTGCTTCTAATTTCTCCAAAACCTCAATCCCACTTCATATTTTAATGTGATAATCAGTTATATTAAATCTTTCTACATTAATATAAAACAAAATGTAATCTACTATTACAAAAATTTTGCAACTTACTGACAGTGAATCTTCTCCCACTAGACTGCTAGCCACTGCCAAGATATTGGGTGAGTAAAATTTCTCATACAAGGAAGCACCTTGGCAAGTGTCAATCATGAAAAACATCTCATGATATCTGCAAAATCAAACAAATAACATGTTACGGATAAATTAAAAAATTATCTTGATGTTCATTTATATATATTACACACAAATCTATTTACTTGTAAAAGATTATCACATTTTAAATATACTGCACTGGCAGGAGTGATTTTTCCTTGTATTTCAATAAATATTCACCATATCAACAAATTTCTTAATAAGATCTATATCCTATGTCTTGTACCAATATTTTGTATGATATAATTTTCTTAAAACAACAATGAAGTTGGGTGATAGTGGATCAATATGAGGGGAAACTAAATTTACCAATCAACGTTCAGTATAATCCTCTTAATACCAAATATCACCAAAATCCATTCAGCAGATTCAGAGAAAAAACACACAAACAGACAGACGTATACAACCTAATAAGTTTGTGTTAATTTCATTCAGTTTGTGCAAAGAAAGTATATGTTTTATTAGCAAGTCATAAATATCAAATTTATATTTCTACCTGAAGCCATCAACAATTACCAAATATACAGTTACAATAAAAGGCATCATGATAACAGCAGGCCTATATGGTATTTTAAAACTTACATATATCTAAAATACTTATTTTCACTGAAATATAAATTCCATCTTTTTATGATTACAATACTGACAAAAAGCTGCGCCATAAGCACTTGTGGAACGCACCTAAACTGCTTTATAGTACTACTGTCATGGCCGTACCTAGGTCCCACAATCTGATGTCACGGAGAAAATCAGTTTGATCCAGTGTTTCAGTGAATACGTTGCATGCTGACGAGCAGCGGGTAGCAGAAGCTGTGAAAGTGGTATGCTTGCAGAAACAAAGCACTATGCCTGTAGCAGTTCACATGGTTAGATTCATACAAGCATGCCTACTTACCAACCTAGCTACATACGCCATATAATTTTGGAACTAGAAGTTTGCTTCTGTTATTGCTATTATTGACCAACAATTTTTTTACAGTATGTAATCATTGGTAACTCAAATGTCGACAGGTTTTCACTGTGTTGAAGTTTGTATTTCAGTACATATTCTGAAGCTTTTTCACCCATTTAAACACAATATTTATTATGCAACTTTATTATTACAAAAACTGTGGCTGTAATATTTTGTTTTTTATCACATGACTATTGGCAGTTTGGGATTTTCTACAAAAAATATTTAAGATTTGAGGTTTTCACAACACCAGACTACACAGCGCAACAACCCAGAAGACAGATATCTTCATACTCATCGCCCTGATGACGGAGGCAGTATGATCTCTGAAACGTTGGTTAACATCGACCAAACTACACAGCGCAACAACCCAGAAGATAGAAATCTTCAAAAAATATTTACTTTTCCTCTACAGTGGAAACTTTCCTTATGAAATCAGTATTGTATTAAATTCTCACTAGAACAGTTCCTTCATGCTTTTGATCTTTCACAGTGCACTCTGAGTAGTACTAGTAGAAGCAATGACAAACAGAAAATACACCCCTGGTGCAGGAAAAACCTAATGCACCGTTACTAATACATAACCTTACCTTCGCTTCTGCCACATCTGCTCAACTGCATCAGCCAATTCCTGACTTGTTACCTCCTCAGAATCTTGAAATTTGAGGAACCCATCACCCCCATGACCAGTAAGATAAACCAAAACATTACTCCCTTCATCTGTCAGCAACTGTTTGGAACGAGGTGTACCTGGTGGTAAGCGACCAGTCAAGAGACGCACAAAATTCTCCACTGTCACCTGCAGTGAATATTATTAATATAAACATCTATCAAATTAATACGTATGAGTGGAAACATGAGGTGACAAAAAATTTTAGAAAGGATTTACGATACACCTTTCTTTGCTTCACCTAAATATGGAAATTGGTTCATTAATTACTGTCATCAAATAGAAACTTAAATGAACTGATTATTATATTTTACAAAAATAATACCTTAACATAAATTGCATTTTTAAAGTAACATTACCAGACATTTCATGATTTTATATTAACCTTCATCATATTGTAATAAAGGATTTAAACATCCGACTGAAACACCAAGGTTAGCAGTATGTTGGTGTGATTCACAGCGAGCTGGATTATGTGTTAACAGAAATACTAGTACCACCTCAACACCAAAAGTTCTCATTGCCTATTTGGTATTACTAATAGTGAAATATGAAGGTCAGGTAGTCTTCAACAACACAATGCAGACGCCAATTTTAATGAAAATCCATCAATTAATTTCAAAGCCACAAACTGGAAGACTCACATGGACATGATAAGATCATAAACCTATCTGATAATGATGTTATGGTTTGTAATGCTATGTGATTTTCACTATGAAGATAGTGGCAGTATATTTCTGAAAGAATGGTATCTACCTAACAGGTTATGTGGCATAAAACCCAAAACATTATCAATCTCTTCCCTGCAATGAGAACCACAAATCTCACATAAACCTACAATTGTTTATAAGATAACAAAAGTGAGCTAAGAAAGGACATAGGCTGACTTGACTGTTTTTCGCTGCACTTCACAAATTTGTTAACAGTGTATTCACTTACCTCATATCCTCTATAATCCACTTCTACATCATCTCCATATACATTAATATGCTGATTGGCATTGTTGAAGACTGTGGCAGGACGTGGGTTCCTAGGATTGCATGCCATATCATCTGCTATAATCAGGATGATTTGGCTGTGTAACAGTTTAAAAAGATCAGTAGAGTGTCTTGCTTAAGTAACAATGCAACATCCATTAATCATATTCATCGCCCTGATGACGGAGGCAGTATAACCTCTGAAACGTTCGTTAACATCAACCAGACTACACAGAGCAACAACCCAGAAGACAGAAATCTTCAACATCCATTTATTTTGTCATTTTTTAATATGCAATACTAATAATATTTTATGATGAATGAGTGATTATGTTATTTAATAACACCATTTCAACTACACAGCAAAGTTATCATAAATGATTAACATAATTATGTAAATGATAAACTGGTAAGAATATGGATGGAAACAGCTGGTACTGCTGTTAAGGTTTTTTCCTGGCATTCTGCTAGAGGAACTAAACAAAACCACATAAAGACTAATGTCAATATAGCTAGTCTCCAGGTCAAAATTTTAATCCAATATGAGGCGAAAGAGCCAACTACCTGACAATGATATTCAGTAAGATGTTCATGAATGATAAGTACGGACTTGCAAAGGATGCGGTGGCGACTTTTTCAGGGAACTATCCCAGAATTTGCATTGAGAGACTTAGGAGAACCATGAAATACTTCAGTATGGCTAATAACTGGTGAGGCTGGAATCAAAATAACCAATACAAATAGAATGAGAGGTTTTTTTTACTGTCATATATATGAAGGACTCCATTTCAGAAAGGTGAAGACATTCTGAGAGGTTAATGGGTGAGATTAAAGATGAGAAAATGGACAAGACAACTGAAAAGTGTTCCCTCTTTCAAGCAGTCTTTTTATAAAAATATCATTAGTAAAGAAAAAAATTTCCCACACACCATCACATATAACCTTAATTTTCAGTATATGGACAAACAAGATAATGCAATCAAATTTGGTAGAAGCAAGGATTCTTTTTTCCTACATCACCACAATGACGGCAGATCTGGGAATCCTTACATCCATAAGACACCTGGGGATAAAGAAGAAAGAGCAAGAAATTTACCACTCACATCCATCCTGGCACAAAGGCACCATTACCTTATGCCTGGTGTTGGGGGACACAAGTTCTTTGTATCTGCCTTTCAGATGGCTAATACAAGAATAAGTCAAGAGTTAACCTTCTCCTATAACCTCAACAGCCAATCCCTTACAGAAACAACAGATAGCTACCTAAAAAGAATATGATAAAGACACTGTGAGATATATAACTTAAATAGTTGTAACTCCAAACTAGAAAACAGATGATTATAAAGGTGAATAATAAAGAATTTATACTTAAGACATTTAAAACTATGACAATATTGGAGTTTTATAGGAAAATAGAACATAAAGTAACAAAGCTAATATCCCACACACAAATTAATTTTTGAAAATTTCTTTGTTCATCTTATGATGCTTTTCGACTGTGGTAATAAGGAGATTAACTGATAGTGATGAAAACTACACACCTTAAACCATACAACAGGATCAGAAAAGCTGTAACATAATGATGTTTTGTACTGTAACAACTTCACTGATTCCACATGGGTACACTTCAAGCTGGAAGAATAACACTTTACATAATAATTTTCTGCTAATTATCCTTTCTTTCTATTCACTTTTGCTGGCCTTTAAATCACACTGTCCACTGTGACTTCAATTTCTCACATTTGCTCCTTCATGATGGGTCATCCACTGCTCACATTATTTATCACCGAGTTACAACTACAAGTTACTCTGTTGGCACAGACTGAAACTGTCAGTCTATACTACTGACTTGCAACCACTACTCAGTCACTTGCTCTGAACTCAGCACTGTCTGTTCGCTGCTTTAACACATTATTTCAAGCCATTAAATGTTTCTTGAATCTCTCCATGGTGCCAGATTACACAAGTGGTTACAAAAGGTCCCAGAGGGAGGATACGCTGTGCACATTGTGTATACAGTAGGCTGGCTGCTTGTAGCTCACTACAAGGGGCTGCAGGAGAGGAGGGGAAACTTACTGACATAATCACAAGCTAATGTCAAGGTCTTGCAACAAATCAAAGAGTTACTAACCTGTCCGGGATTCCAAGTCGCTTTACACTCCGATATATTGACAACACATTTGCCACATGGCGATAATTAAACCAAAATCTTGATGTATCAACTAGTACAGCCCAATTGTTAGTATGTCCTGCCTGAAGAAAGTCTTCTGGCAACTGTTAACATAAAAATACTTATTACTGTTATTTAACCAATCACTGTTTATAGTAAGAAAGTCAGTGTTGGTTATATGATCAATTTAAAAATAAGACTTCATAGTTTCTTTCCAGCATTCCTTATCAGTTTTTTTTCTGATTCATATACCAAAACAATTCTACATGAAAGGAATAAATCATAAAGCTCCTGATTAAGCAATTTTCTGCAATTACTTTGGTCTTCAAATTTCTTCACAGCACTTTGTTTTCAAACAAAATGTAATCACAGCATAAAATTTCCTCTGTTGTCAAGTACCAAATGGTGTGGCCATGTGTTGTTTCATATTCACAAGATCCTGGGTTCAAATCTCAGCTTAGAGACTAACTTGGTGTTGGTTTGTAATATTACTCAGTCTGTCCAGGCAAATGCTAGGATAGTGCTGTAAATTAGACTGCAAGTTTCCTTCCATTGTCTTTCCAATTCATTATTCTATAATCATCCTATAAGTTGTTTCATATTCACAGCCTGTATCATCATGTGTCCTGATGTGATGGAGGTGGCAAGCACTTCAGAAATGACGGTAAAATTCAACAGGTGCTTGCTGCCTGTATCATCATGTGTCCTGATGTGATGGAGGTGGCAAGCACTTCAGAAATGACGGTAAAATTCAACTACACAACATGCTGCAACAAACCAAAAGACATAAATTTTCATACTCGCCGCCGTGAGAACCTAAAGGCTCACATAGTAACGAATTTTCGGATCCCATAAAACATGGGGAATTTCTTGATAAGCGGAGTGACATACCAGTCACATTTAAAAAACATTCAAAGTACCCCGTTTGTAATTATATCACGAAAATTATGCACAGGTGTAGTGTAAGTGGACCGTCAAGTTTTGGGTGGTTATTCTCCAGATCGGCGAAGACATTAAGTTATGAACTTACATCCACTAAAAATGGCAAACCTTACATGCACGAAACACTTTAACAGATCAATTCTAATTCTTATTTAATGTTGGAGAATTTGTAAATATTAAAATACTTATTTGCGTAGATGCAAGACACAAGCACATTTCTTTTCCAGCTAGAACAATGGGCATCAATAAATACTTACTGATCTATGTATCGATGATATACTGCTTACTAGCATTAATATCAATATAACTAAAATGTTTGCCACACCGTACGTCATATTTTTCATATATATATATTTTCCCAATAGAAAGGTTATACTATCACCAGAGCCCACCCAAATACAAAAGCACAGATGTTCCTGCAACAGTATCTCTGCTACAAATCTTGGGTAGGTCCGTCACACCACAGATTTTCTAACCTGGTATACTTATAAATTGCGCATGTGAATATTTTTCTATTTCTTGGGAGTTCGTTTTCTTAATGTCCTTAGATGTGTTTAGGTTGTCACATATCCTGACATAGTTGTATGGTAGGATAAGCCTAATGAAGATGGTCTTTTCGGTTGTTACTCCGTGTGTCTGATGTAAGAAGTCAGTTCCAGTAAGTTCCTCTAAATGCCTATCAGTATCTACAAAGTGCAAGAATGACGCAATGCCAAAACATCAATTTAAATTTCTTGGCTCAGCTAGTTTCAATATTTTACACTCAGTGTTATCTACAGTTCTGAGACTACAATCCCCGAGTATCTCCGATGTACAGCCCTTAGAAATTCAACGGAGGGAAGGCAAACTCAATTAGAGCCATCTACATTATTTACGGGAACAATGCACTCTGGTGGTGCAAACTGGAAGTGAAAAGAGGTTTCAAAAGTGGCCGAAGTTAGAGCGCAGCATGTACATTATTAATCCATAGTTAAAATATGTTTATCGGAAAGTAGTTATAGTGATTATACAGACTGCCTTTGTTGAATATTGTTCATTATGACTGCCGTTCGAAAATTCATAGGTATGACCAAATAATGTGTTTTGCGCATACGTATTTTCAAAGTCATTCGTACCAGAAACATCCTTCATACTCTACAGCCTTGGCTTCGGTCTATAAAGGCACAGTGGAATGTAAATAAATTCTATTCTAATTAAGGGCTTTAATTTCCATTCTCAGTGTTGATGTTCTGGGTTATAATGCCATGTAGACATGTAGGAAGATAGGGTTTTAGAGATACCTGCCATCTCCCTGTCTCATAAATTTATTATCCCAACTCAAATTGAAAGTGATACTGGAATTATTTCTTAATAAAGTACTGAATATGAGTGAAGAAAATACTTTCATAGTGAGTGAAACTGTATCTTACAAAGAACACACTTATAATTTTTTATTTGAATGATTGAAGTTAAATATTTCAAATTATGTCTAGCATTGCTAAAGTCCATGTCAAGTATTTTCATTTGTTTTAACATGAATACATTTTGTAGCACTGAAATTTTTCAATGAATTAGATTGACTAATAAATATGCAAATTATTTTAAAATGGGGGTTTGAGTAAAATAATAATTTATTGTTTTATTTTAACACTAACCAATGGCATAGAAAAGTCATTTTAGGAACAGAATTCAAGCCAAAAAGCTGAATGCAATCGACAAGTAATACTGATAAGTCCATTTGAAAGTGGTTTGAGTAAATGTGATGTATGATTTTGTTTCTGATATTGTAAAAAAAGGTTGTACAGACTTGGAGCACTTCCTGTTTGTATGCCATTTGGATATTGGAGTCAATCTGACAGACTCCATGTACAAAGGAATTTATCATGGATCAAAGAAACATAAAGCTGACCTCAAAGAGCATGGGACATTGGCATGCAGAAAATGATCATCACAGGAACCAGTTTGGGAGAAAATGGAGAAGCTCTTCAGCTTGCAAATTCCCATGGTTTATAATTCAGTTCACCATCTTTAGGCTAATGTATGTGGAGATATGCCTCTGTGCCTTAAATGTGGTGTGGTTTTGGGGCAAAGTGGTAATTTTACCATCATGTCTCCATCTGAAGTTTGTGATGGTAATTGGTATGTTATACCATGCATTTTTTTTTAATATTACAAACATCACCCTGGGTACACTTTTTTCTTATTTACAGCAAGACCCAACATATCAGTCATGGGGACCAAAATTACTTTCACATACCAAAATACTTTGAGGGCTGTGGGGTTTCCACCTCCTAAGGTGGTATTTACTTTTGGCAGCTATGAAATGTCACCAAATGGAGGTCCAAGTAGTTTACATAATGGACAACAGAACTGCAGTTAAACGCATCATTTTAAAATACCTGAAATAATTTTATATAGATATTCTGAGTTGACAAAATCAAATAGCAGCCAGTTTAGGAAATGCTTCAGTTCAGAATTTTTTGCTCATATAAAATCTTAAAGATTAAGAAACAGAAAATTTTAATTTATATCTGTTATTTTGTATGGGTGTGGAACTTGATCTCTCATTTGAACAGAAGAGCATAGATTATGGGTGAGTGTGAATAAAGTGCCAAGGAGAATATTTGTATGCTGAGAGGACAGAGATTATACGGTGAAGAGCCTCATAATTTTTACTCACTGTATAAATTTATTATGATCATTAAAACAAGGAAGAGTAGATGGGATGGGCATGTACTGTAAATGGGGGAAGAAATGCATATAAAAGTTTGGTGGTGGAACATACAGGAAAGAGACCATATGAAAGATGCAGGTGTGAATGAGAGGATTTAAAAATTAATAGAGAAATAGGGTATGAAAGTGGGAAGTAGACTGAACTGGTAATGAACTTTTTGACTTCCATGAATGCAGGAATTTGTTGTCTGATCAGTTGTAAGCTTTTCAAGGTGAGCAATTTTCAAAGGAAGGCCTTTCTCATGAATTTATTTAGTAACTTAATAGTCAAAATTGTTCTCTACTGTTCACTTCATTCAGGATATTAAAGTATTTATTGGGACTAAATTTTGTAAACACTGTGCATTTTAGAAAAAGTATACAGTACTGTGGGCTGTCATCCAAACAGATGTGGTAAGTTTGAGAAATCAGGAGACCCAACATCATATCTTTAGTCTCTCCAAGATCTAGCACAGGAAGGCCAGCATAAAGTGGTAGCAATTGGAGAATGTGGACTAGATTATGATTGACTGGAATTCTGCCCCAAAGAAACACAGATAAAGTACGAAAATACTGGTACTATAAAGTCAATTTGCTATAGGGATTTGAACTAATACAATAAAACTTTGCTAATCCAGATCCCTTTACAAACATAATCATCAGTCCTAGCTTTTTGAAGCCTGCCTCTCTTCCATGGTCTACTGAAGGAATTGGCTTGACATTCTGGAAACAAGTTCTTCAAGTGTGTCAAGTGATAGCAAAATATCCTCTGAACCACGCTCATAAATAATGGGAAATGAATGTTAAATGTTCAGGTATGGTGGTTTCAGTAATATATAATGATTATTAGTACTTTTTAGTAAGTGTACTAATCCAGGTAACACTTGCCCCGTCATATATTCCAGATTAGCAAGGTTTTACTGTGCTTACAAAATAAACTTGTATGAAATAATACCATTTGTAAATGAAATTTCATGTTTTGATAGGGAAAGTGAAGAGTACAGTATTCTATTTTCAAAAATTAATAATTGCTGTAGAAGAGTTCTTATGATCACCAGTTAGTTTCCTTAACAAATTTTCTTCCTAGTAACAGAACCCTAGTCACTGCTAACATAAAAACCTGCAATTCCATAGTCCTAGAACATTCCGTGATGGCCACACCCCTCCATGACATGCCATCTGCCCATTTGGCGCCACATCACAATATCCTACATCTGACAAGATTAGGGATGCTCTCCACTATGTCTCTGTAGATAACTCTGACAAAGGAAAGATATATTACTCACTACAGGAATATGGACATTATGTAATATATATTACATGATAAGTGATGATGTGATTACTCTACTTAGTGAATCCACACATCACAAATGTGGATCCTCTCCATGAAATATGCTTTGATGTGTCTTCGGATGACCTCTCTGAATGAATGATTTATTACACACATAAGATGAATATGGATGTTCACCATTATGCACACGCTGGTGCACCTTAAGATGACTACTCAGAAAGAATGGTTTATTACACACATCACAGCAATATCAGTGCTCACCACTATGTATGCGTTGATGATTCTTGAGGCTGTCCTTTCTACTGAATGATTTATTACACACATCGCAGTCATATGGACGCTCACCGCTATGTATGAGTTGATGTTTCTTCAGGCCCCCCTTTCTAATGAATGATTTATTACACACATTGCAGTCATATGGACGCTCACCACTATGTATGCGTTGATGCATCTTGAGGTCCACCTTTCTAATGAATGATTTATTACACACAACACAGTCATATGGATGCTCACCACCATGTAAGTGTTGATGTTTCTTGAGGCTGTCCTTTCTACTGAATGATTTATTACACACATTGCAGTCATATGGACGCTCACCACTATGTATGCGTTGATGCATCTTGAGGTTCTCCTTTCTAATGAATGATTTATTACACATATCACAGTCGTATGGACGCTCACCGCTATGTAAGTGTTGATGTTTCTTGAGGCTGTCCTTTTTACTGAACGATTTATTACACACATCACAGTCATATGGACGCTCACCACTATGTATGAGTTGATGCATCTTGAGGTTCTCCTTTCTAATGAAGGATTTATTACACACATCACAGTCATACGGACGCTCACCACTATGTAAGTGTTGATGTTTCTTGAGGCTGTCCTTTCTACTGAACGATTTATTACACACATCGCAGTCATATGGACGCTCACCACTATGTATGAGTTGATGCATCTTGAGGTTCTCCTTTCTAATGAATGATTTATTACACACATCACAATCATATGGATGCTCACCACTATGTACGACTTGATGCATCTTGAGGTTCTCCTTTCTAATGAA